GAACACCCACAGATGAGCAGCTTCAAGGGTTAAAAGTTCCACTCGCAAGAATTATTACTGACTCCATTGTTCTGTTAATTTGAAGTAGCAGTAATGTTTGAGTGTAATTTAATTTTGGGTTTGATTGTGGTTTGTGCTGAAAATTAGAAATGATGCAGCAGCTGGTTTTATGTTTATTTTGTGCAAATATTATTTAGAAACTAGATTTGTGGGAAATAACCAGTTAAAATCAAAAGCTGCAGCCATTAAGGAGCTCATGGCTGATGATTTTTCTCATTTCCAGCCATTTAATGTTTAACTTTAGCTACCTCTAGATTAGCTGTACACTCGTCATAACTCCAAATAGTTTATAATTGTTTCAGAATGATAAAACCAGAGATCCTCTTCCTAAAAACAAGAGGATAGTTTGTGAACCCACACAACTCCTGCTGCTGGTGTTGAAATCTGTTTCCCCATGGATATGTGTTTCCCTAATCTGAATCTTAACATTATCCTAACCACAACCACTGAGGCAGAAAACAGAAAAGCGCCATGGGCTCTTTAAATATTTGGGTTACACTGAATTGTGCTGTGATTTGATTTATTTGATCTGGGACTAAATGACATGTCATTGCACAGCCACTTTATTAGTGAATGAGTCAGTAACAATGTGTAAATCCTACTGAAACATATGGAGCCTGTTGATTCAGCATTTCTCAAGTGTTGCACTGTCAAAGCTGCTCAAGTGTCTTGTTTGTTCATTTTCACATCTTCAGGAGTTCTGTTTTCTGCACAGCTGCACTGTCACCTCAGTAGCACAAACACTGTAACTATGAAACGTTCAGATATAAACTGTCACTGGCTTCTGTGTTGAAGTGTGACACCTTGTCCTCACCCAGAGGGGCTGCAACTGTAGCATCTGACCTTCAACAGAAGACAGATTTCATTTTATCTCTGACTTCAGATGTGGTCACTGCTTGTTTCTCAGCCTCTTTTATGTGCAAAATCTTTAGTTTGTTTTTCTAGCATGTTCTGCTGTTAACTCAGGTGCTTTCCTGGTTTCTGAAGTGGATCTGCCTTCACATATGCAGTGGGCGTCTCGAGTGTGTTGAGGTTTTGTTTGTCTAATGGGGAAAAGAATAAAAACTGAGGAAAGTGAGAGTGTTGGTCTTTGTTTTTACCGTTTAACCTTTAAGAAATGTTTGTACACATTTGTTATCACACTGTTTACCTGTCAGCAGCCTGCAACCTAAAGATAGTGGTATTTTTAAAAACTGAATAGTGAGTATCATGTTAATACTGAATACTGCAGTAGTTGACAGAGTTTACACAGCTGAAGAACTGAACTGAAGGTGATCTTGAGTTCTGCTTAAATGCTCAAGCTTGGCCGTGTCCAGACTGAAGCATGGGAGGTTTTCAAGGCCAGGTGTGTCAGTGACTCCTGGTATTGATCCTCGATTTGAAGATCTGCTGCATTTTTGCAGTTTCTCTGGAACAGGTTGGTTAAAAATGTGCTTAATGCACCTTTAGCTGATGTTTCCACTGAGGAGGGATATTTGTAGTTACTTTTTTTTAAATATTCATGTTAAGATGTTTTCAGGCTCTGAATTATGTCCCATATGCATTAAATATTACAATAAACCTGTTTCCATTTAAAAATAAACAGTACACACACACACACTTCCCTCTTTGTTTAGGTGGAGTGAAACAGCCGCCCAGCGAAGGAGACACTGATCAGATTTGATGATTAAAAATTCATCCCTGATGTTTTGGCGGGCAGACGTCAGGCCACTGTCTCCTCTGTCTGGAGCATCATCCCTGGCATTCAATGACAAAGCAGCTGGACGTGTCTCAGAGTCATTCTCTAAATGAATCCTGTGGCACAACGCCACTGACGCAGCCTTCAGATCAAGTGTTTCTTGTAAGAGCCCAGAGAGTAAATGTAAAATATGCTAGCGCTGTATAAGGGTACATGGTCATCTGTTAATGGTGAGCAGCAGGAACTCACGTCAGCCTCGGGTGGATGACCTCAGACTGAAACATCTCAAAACTATACGATGGATTTCCATATAATTTGTCCCAGACATTCATGTTCCCTAGAGGATGACTTAAAGATTTTTATGATTCTTTGACTTTTCATTAAGAGTCATCAGGTCCAGATTTCTTGTCTACTACTTTGGTTTATAACCAAATACCTGCAAAAGTGAAGGACGTGCTTCAGCTGCATTTTGTACACTACTCAAAAAAAAATAAAGGGAACAGAAAAAGAAGACATTCAACTATGTTGTGTTCCCTTTATTTTTTGAGCAGTATATTTAGTGCTAATTATGAAATGTTAGCATGCTAACACACTAAACATAACTGGTGGACATAGTAAACAGCGTGTTAGCATGAGGCCCAAGTACAGAAGAGTATGTGTCTGCGGACTGTAAGATGGGGGCAGAACATGTAGGGCCATAACATCATGTGTCATGTTATGCCACTAAATCCTCCCCCTACAACAAGTCACACCTACCAGAACCCCCCCACCCCAGTGCAAGTTACTCCCCCTGCAGCTGGTTGTGGTTCGATGTTCAGAGCAAGTGTGTTGAAACTCAACCCCAAGGTTAGGGGCTGCAGCCCACAAGTTTTTATGCTGTTTAGGTTAGCCGTGTTACTAATGTACTCTGTGTTAGCACCAATATCTACCACCAGTGTCAGCAGCGATAGCGTTTAACATCCAGTAACTAACAAGGGTTAGGGAGCAAAGCTGGACACATCTTATTACGCCCCTGTTTTGCAGTCTGCAGACAGACCCCTTCTCTGGGTCCATCCTCACAGAGCTACTGCATTCATGCTGCTTCTCCAGAGGAAGTTGTTAGTAAAATCAAGCTGTGCTTTTTGCTGCCAGAGGAGTTTTGAGTAAATGTTTTGGTACATTAGCAGCCTGAAAAACAAACACTTTGTGTTACAACCTGTGCACTTAAAAGAATTTCTCTGATGCACTAATGCAGCATGTGTTTCTCCTTCACTGACTACGAATGCATTACTGTTCCTGTTATATCCGTTCATTTAAGTTCACTTTTGACCACAAATATTAGAGTAACTACTATTTGTGCTCTGTCCACTGCCTGTGCAGTGAGATGCTTCAGAGCTGGCTGAAGACCAGCACAGCACACTTAGACCTCCCAGGTCAGTGCAGCAACACTTTGTTGTTTGACATCTTGGGAGATGTGCTTATTCACTTTCCTACAGAGAGTTGGATGTAAAGATTGATACCACTCTCACGTCTGCAGTAAATCCAGAATGAGGCTCCAGCCAGCTAGCTTAGCCAAACAGGTGAAGTGCAAAAACACCAATTCACCCTGTTACTGGGGTTTATGTGCTGCTACTAAGAACCTCTGGCTCATAACGGCTGTAAAACAGCTCACTGTCATTTTTACACTTAATTTTCTGTGCCACAAATTAGTTTGTGAGTTTTAAAGGTGCTGGCAAGACTTGGATGGAGCCCTGTTTCCAGTCTGTATGCTAAGATAAGCTAACTGATTGCTAGTTGTAGCTTCATGTTGACATTCATACTGAGCATGGTGTCACCTAGCTCTTTACCAGGAGGCAAATAAGTGTAAAATGTTGAACTGTTCCTAATCACTTCTGTGCACTTGGGCCACAAAAGTACTTTTCACGGTTTTTCATTATATTTTTATTCATTTAATTTACATGCATGTCATTTCACTTTCACTGCACATTAGTTGATTGCAGTTCAGATTAGTTCAGTTAATTTCTTCTGCAGGTCTCTATCTTCCACAAATATTACCCAAAGTTAGCCCAAAGTTTTTCAGTGACTCTGCACATCTGTGTTTTTTAATACATCCACTGTGAATGAACCTGCACCCTGAAACAGCCCAACATGCAAAAATGAACGAAAACAAACGACATTGCGTCAGAGTCGTGTGGCGCACGGCCACAGTTACAGTCCACCTCCTGTTTTGTGTCAGACTTTTGCCATTTTACAGTTTCTCTCCAATACAATCTCTTCAGTTTTAATCGGACTGCTGCCTGCTTGAGTTACTGTCCTCTGTGTTTGTTCAGTCAAATCAGTGCAGGGTTGTGATGACAGTGACTGGACATTGAGTTACACATGAATCCTGTTCACAACATTTGCCTTTAACCAGATGAACGTCAGGTTCATGATCAAACATGATCCAAATAGTGAAAACTTCAGACTTCACATTGGTTTTCTTTTGTTCGTTCTGATCTTAAAACAACAGATCCGTGTCATGTTTCAAGGAAAATCTCTGAGGGGGATCTCGTCCTCACAGATGGTGCAGCTCCTTCTTCCTGATTGCTGATATGTAGGATGGATGCTCCACATAGCTATAATTTATTACACCTCCTTCATCCTCATAATCTATACGGTCCTTCTTGACATCATCGATATCCTTCATATCATCGCTATCCTCGATATCATCGTCCAAACACTGGCTGTCCCCATCTGATCTCTCATCCTCCTCCTCCTTGTCTTCCTCGTTCTCCTCCAGGACATTCTCACAGCTCACCCTCATCTTCCTGCGGTTGCTGTTCCTCACCGACGCCTCCAGAGCTTTCTGCTGCCGGTAGAAGTGGGAGAACTTGTTGAAGATGATGGTGATGGGCAGCGCCACCACCAGGGTGCCGCCCAGTATGCAGCCGCTGGCCGCCAGCTTCCCGGGTATCGTGACAGGCACCACATCCCCGTAACCCACCGTGGTCATGCTGACTGTCCCCCACCACCAGCAGGCCGGGATGGTGTCCAAACCCACGTCCTGGAAACAGAGAAATGGGGTCGTGAGGCTGAAATTACATGTTATACATCAACAACAATTCGACAGCACAAATCAAATCAGTGTCAAATTGAAGTGGAGGCTAATAACTGCACTGTCTCACGAGGGAAAAGGAGGAGAAATGAGAAGCAATCTAAAATAACATAAAGAAATAAAACTGTGTAGCTTGTACCAGCTGAAGGCTGGGTGTAATACGCTACATCGTTTCAATTAGTCAAGTTGTTTTTGAATGTACTCATCAGTTTGAGGCTGTTTAAGATGTTTTTGAGAATCAGTCAAGTATTTACAGGAAACAACTCTGGTGTGTTTCATCAGGACCAAACAAGTTTTCATCAGATTCAAATGATGATAAAGTTGCTTTAAACTATTTAAAACCACAAGGAGAAGAAAGAAACACAGAACCAAAACTCTGTTAATGTAGGATCCCATTATTCCCAGTAAGAAACTGGTGAGGTTCACTTCTGATTGTGCAGAAGAAGCTATATTTTTGCTATACCAGTTTATTTAAGTTTGTTGTACATCAGTCTGTTTTATATATTCTTTGACTATGTTAATCAAGGACAAATGATGGACTATAATGGTTTTCTGAATCGAGATCTGACGTTGCAAATCAATAACTTCTTGGACTGAGACCTTTCAGTTAATCAAATGTCATGAAATCCTTACAGGGAAGACTGAAACTAATACAGAGAGATATCTGAAACGGCTGCGTATGACAGGCACAGAGGAAGAGTCCGAGGTGTCAGCAGTCAGAAATCAAACCTCACCTCTTCATATTCAGCGGTGTAGGCGATGCCAGAGAAGACGCACACTCCGACGGCCAGGTACAGCAGCAGGATGCCGACCTCCCGGTAACTGTGCTGCAGACACAACATGGAGGAAGCTTTAAAGCAGAGCGCACCACTGTCAGCGCCATCTCCAGCAGGGAGGTGACTGGCGGGTGGACGCTTTCTGATCTCAGTGACAAACACGAAGCCAGCAGGGCTCTGAGAGCCTCAGGAAGCTGTCAGCTGGTAGAACCTCGGGTCAGAGCCAAACAGGGTGATGCTGTGTGAAGCCATCAGCTGCTATGCTGCACACAGATGGACCCGGTGGGCCCCGATGCTGCCACGTTTAAGTCTCAGCTGAAACCTCTGCTGTCGTCCTGTGACTCGATGGACCAGTGTCTCTGCTGCACTTTTGTTTTCTGTGTTGTGGTACGGCATGTCGCTGCTCTGG